CACTGGGTGGCGGGGCTGGAACCTAATTCCCACGATAAACGAGGGACTATTGTATAACAAATAATAAAAAGGAAAAATCTTTTTCTTTAATTTTGTTTTGAATTAATGGAAATTAACAAAAATACATATTAGGAATTATTTTACTACTTCATGCAAACAGATTTTCAGTATTATGGCTGTCAGTATCTGGTGTTTGTGGCTGTCAGTATCTGGTGTTTTGTATTGTCTTTCATTATAGCAAACTCAAGCTCAGTTGGTCAGTAACTGAACAAAATCAACCTCAACAGCTTCCTCCTTCTGACACATTAAGCGCACATATCACATACAAATGGGTAAAAGGAAACCACAAATGTATGTGGTACATGATTTCACGTATTCAGTCTTTGATTCTATGAAACACTGCACCAGTACCAGAGAAATGACTTCTCTTTGTTTAAAGTGGAAACAAAATCATTTTGAAAGTAAATCCAAGACTGGTCTAACCTTTGTTTCTTTACATAATTTCAGTTTTCCTTTTATCTGTTATGCTTATTTAACATTCATACATTGCATCAAGTCTTTTTAGATTCAATTAATCTGACACCAAATCTGAAAATGTATTATTTGTTTTTTGAAACGAAGCAGGTTAAAGTCAGGGTTTTTGTACATTAATGCTGATCATCACTAACAATCATTACAGACTTATGTCAAGTTAAAATAATAAAATTTCTACTACGCTGCTTATTATCTGCATTGCTTAGAAACCATCAGCATTATTATTAGTGATATAGCTTTAAGCAATTAATTTATAAAATAAAGATGTTTTAGTTATGCAAAACAGATGTAAAATTTACTTACAGGTACTTTACTTTTATAACCTGAAATAAAATAACTAAATAAACCTAGTATCATTAGAGTTCTTATTCAAATTAGAGATCATCCTCTTTTTAGCAGATGTAACTGCTTTCTTAATTTTTTTTTAAAGGCAAACTACTGTCTCAAAAAATGTTTTTTAATAGTGTTTTGTTTGGTTTTAAACAGTGACAAACTATAGTTGTTAATGCCACAAAGTATTATTTTGTAAAAAAAAAAAAAACAAAAAAAAAAAAACTCATGAAACAATTTAAAAAAAATATGACTCAATTATTTGAAACATAAACAAAAAAAAAGGAGAAACATGGTCAACCACAGGGGTCATTTCCATCAGTGTGTTCATCTTTAATTGTTTCTACTGTGGACTCACATGCAGGTGGGGGGGGGGGGGGGACGATGTCATCCGTTGTAAAAATCACAAAAAGAACAACAATAACAAGAAAAAACAGCCTTCATATGAATTCCCAACAAAAACTGTTACGTATCCACATTCATTTACTTTTTATGTGTCATACTCATTTTTCTTTTTCAACAATTAATACCATTTAATGTCACAATGGATTAAGATACAGTTACTTTTTTAAAGCAAGTAACACAGAGAAACGTCCAGTGTACATTTGAATGTCTTACAGCAAGTCTAAGACTTTGGAGACAAAAATGACACAAAAAAAGTTGAATCCCCATGACTTTCGTCTTTCACATGAACTCCTTTTTGTGTTGATACAAGGACTGAAGCTCACTGACAGTTAAAATGCCACTTTGACCCATGCAGCCTGCTGTGATGCAGTATCATATTACACCACCAGGGGTCGCAAGAGAACCCATTCTGGCAACACCAAGAGAAGCACAGAGGGGAAATGTATGACCTCGGTTTATCTTATAATTTAAAGTAACCAAAAATAGATATATATTCACAAGAAATATCACTGAAAATATGTATTATTTATGATTTAAAATAGCCTAAAATGCATATGCCAATTTGAACGCAGTTCACAAATTTTTGCATGTTGCGTATAACCCCAAAGCAATCAGAAAAGTAAAAAGTTCAACTGAACACTGATGTGCTCAGTTATGTGTCCGGGTTAACAGTGCAAGTTCGGTTACAATGCATTTTGATTAGCTGTTTTACAGAAGTTAAGGTGCACATGTGAGAGGATGAACAACCAAGCAAACATGGGTACACCCAAGTTTTTAATTACATTTAAACATAGCTCAGTATTAGTTTTGGGGGGGGGCAGAGAGATAGGAGTGGGAGTTAGCGAGTGAAGTTACACTGAACACAGTCCAACATTTATTAACACAGTCCTCATCTGGGAGATGATGCGCAAAGAAACCAACATACAGTATATCCACCATTCCAAGTCAGCTGATATGCTGAGTGAATCTACACATATTAATTGAGTTTTTTTTTTTTGTTTAATTTTTCCATAGTATATTAATTAAAGGTTAACACTGAAATACACACACCCACACACACTTAAATTCAGGTTGTTGTTTTTTCTGTACCTAGGGTTCATATTCACAGTTGTGCTACAACATTAGATAAGGAAGGGAGTGAGGCTGGTAACAAGTTAGAGAGGAGGGAGGTCAAGAGATGATGGCTGGTTGGCATAGAAAGAGCGAGGGAGGGGGCGGGGGAGTGCAGACATCCGTATCCACAGAGCTCCAGACACAACAACAAACCTACGGAAGTAGAAAGAAACAAAAAAAAAACGTCAAAAACGTTACATGCTGTTAGAAGATAATGTATGAATTTAAGCAGTATATTTACATGCACATATCTTTTGTTGCTCAACTAAGTCCAGATTTTAGGGGCAACAAAGCTCGTTCAAAACACCTCCCTAGGAAGGTACCGAGCAAACAAACCACTTCAACTGGTTCTTTAAATCTGAAGAAGTGACTCTTCTACGAACTCTTCACCCTGTCCTCGAGGGGTCACTTCTTGTGATTTTTTTTTTTCTGTTGCCGCTTTTAATTAATGATCATTGGTCAAGGTTGGCAACTCTCCCATGACAGATCACTACAGTGTAGCATCCACTTACTGGTTTCCTGCCTCGTTCTACACTGACTAATAAACAAAATCTTTAAAATTCAACATGGAGCAGCAGTTTACAACCAACCTAGAGTTGGCAGTTTGTTGCATTTTTTTTAAATGGTAGTAATATACATTTGAAAAATAAAAATAAACAGATGGTGCAGCGCCATGTTTAGCACTGTGACACATCCCCTCTTCTTTAATAACCATCTGAAAATGTCTAGAAACTGAGGAGACCAGCTGCTGGAGTTTTTAGAGGGGAATGTTAATTTTATTTCCTTTATTTTTATTTTTTTTCCAAATTAGATGTCTAACCTGGTTTAAATGTAATACTGCCAGAAGGGCCCAAAGGTCGCACACGTCCAACACTGATTTCTGGTCTTGTTCTTCTTTGTATATGATGTGCTTACTGTGTTCAATTATGCAATTTAATATTTTTACTGTTTTTTTTTATTTATTTATATTTTATACATGTCCCCAGTATTTTCAGAGTTCGGGTTATACCAAACTGCTGCACTAACAAACATATGCCCAGTTGGCTCTCCTTGTCTGCAGCCTAATACATGAATCATATCATATGTAGTTAATAATTTCTGAAGTAACAGACTATCCAGCTCCATAATTAATAATAGTGTGAGCCTGCTAATATTGCAATGTAGGTCAAAACTGTTTGGATAATAAATAAATGTTTTAAAACAGTACATGTACCTTGGATTTATGGGTCAGGCAGTCTACATGAAGTCCTTAATATTGAGGTCATCCAGAGCGTTCCTGGGTGGTGGGGGCTTTCTGGGGCTCTGGGCCACTCCAGGAGAAATCTGCAGACATATCTTATTTTCATACTCACTCTTGTTTTGCATGTATGAAGTTTTTATTAGCATTTATAGCAACATATTACCGGTGCTCCTGGGGTTGCTCCAGTGGCAGGGAAGCCTGGTCTGGCCATGGGCATCATCGGCGCCCCGGCAGCTGGTGCCCCAGCCTTATAAAGATAAAACGGAGAGGTGAACAAGCAGCAAGATAAAATTGTTTGCCATCTGATGGTTGTGTGAGGGACACCTAAGGGGCTGATTGTCCATCTATATCCGGTAATGTCCAGAAGGAACATTACTGGAATGGACTCGAGTGGTCATCTTACCATGGTGAAGTTGGGGTACATCCCCATGAAAGGAGCAGCACCCATGGGTATGGTCTAAAGGTATGGAGGGGAGGGGATGGAGAGTGGGAGTTGGGATGTTACTATACTACAAACAACACAGACAGGCCAAAAAATGTTACAAACACATGGGAGCAAAATGCACTTGTGCTATCTAGTAAAACTCAAAAGTGACAAACACACACAAATTTAAAAAAAGCACACAAGAAATGAGGACAGACACAAAACCCTCACGTCAAACTGTTTGGGCACATGCACTAAGGTTTGAGAGCAAGAAATAAGCATGTAGCGTTCAAGCAAAAGTGTCAAATCTGTTGTTTACAAAAATGCTTCTCTGAACTCATATCAAACTAAAAATAACTTGTTTTTTTCCACAAGAATAGGAAGTTGTTTCCAAGCAACACCTTCTTAGCAGTATAATTTGCCTTTTCTTTACTCTCCAGTGAGACTCCAGATATATACATGTTTCTGTCATGAGTCTGTACCCTTCATATACGGTGCAGCAATACGTGTTTAAATAAGATTTATCTTGTGTTTGTGTACTTGCTATGAGGTATTCCTGCATTCCTCATCATTTGAGTGTCTAAGGTCCACTGTAACACCTGGAAACTGGAGAACCGAATGAAGGCTTAGAGACTGGTGCTACAGCTGTACCCTGTCTGCCATGCGACTCCACTCCATGCTATAAGACACAGACAACATTTACCATGGGAGCACCCCAACTGGGGGGAGCTACCTGAGGGGCCGCTGCTGTTCCCATCGTGAGGTCTTGGACAAAGAGAGAGAACAAGAAAGAAGTTCTGCAAAATCATTGCTTCCATTTGCATCTTTGTGATACAGTACAGTGATTTTACAAAAGTTACAAGTTTACATTTTTGGTGAACAGATGAGTCCTTGTTTCTTTCACAGAGGAGATAAAATACACTTTTTAATGAATGAGCTGAAGCTCTGCTTAGCATAATGATTAAAGAACCATCATCGATACATCTCTCTGTCAGGTCGGTGTGGATAAGACCCAAATGCAGACAGACAGGAGCTTTAGTAAAATAAAACATGTATTTAAACAACAACAAAACAAAATGATGGCGTGGCGACAAACTTTACTGCTCGGAATGAACAGAAGAGCACGAGGACTGAGACATGAGGGTAAAACCAGTACTGTGAGCTACTGGTGAGGTGGTGACTGGAGACTGGTTATATAGCAAATTGAGGCAGAGAGGAAAGTGGGAAGGCCTGGACTGATGGCTAATAAGGAACAGATGAGGGTGGCAACTACAAACATTGAGGAAACTTGACTGAGGGTAGATGGAAAATGATAAGAAACACTGGGAAACAAAACAAGAGCTAAACCAGAATACTAAAATAAAACCTAACAATGAAATACAAAAACGCAAAAGATATAAACTGAACAGGTAAACACAACAGAACCCAAAGAACAAAAATAAAACACAAACCACGAAAGGATTACAGTAGTCCCTCGCTACTTCATGGTTCGACTTTTGCGGACTCGCTCTTTTGCAGTTTTTCAACGCAAGTTTGTACACGGCACGCGATTGTCCACTTTAATATTACTCACGTGATTGGGACGGTACGGGATAAAAAGTTAACAAAAAAAGTGCTTCGGACACCATTTTGTAGTTTTTTTTTTTCAATAAACCTATACTGTAATGCCGGTCAGAAGAACTACACTACCCAGAAACCAACAGTGCTTTCTGCCATTGCTTTCTACCAAAATGGAGGGAAGGTTTTGCCACGCAGTCAGAAGTAATAATCTTTCTTTTAGCTCACAGAACTGGCAGGAAAGTCACAAATAACCCTGAAGCTCAATTATCCATGCACACATCAACCTGGACTTTGTCGTTGCAGGGTAGGTCTGCAGAACTGGAACCGACACCAGCCAGAACTGAGCTGCTTGTCTGCAGAGCTGCTGGGTAAAACGTTGCAGTACTGTACAGTACATATAAGTATGTTGTTAAAACGACGTAGGTTTAAGAGCTTAGAACATTGCAAGAGTGTGAGAAGGGTTTATAAAGCCCTAAAATATATATAAATACTAAAATAAATATAGTGTTCCTACTTCATGTTTTTTTGCGGGGGGATGTTGAACGTAACCCCCGCGATAATTGAGGGACTACTGTAATACTGAGATGAACTAAAGGACTAAATAAAAACACAAAGCAGCACTGTCACAACAATCTATAGGATGGTTACTATAAAAATAGCTCATGAAAACTGGTGATGTTTTTACTAATTTGATTAAAAAAGATTTTAACTTTGTCAAAACATTTTTTTTTACTTTACAGCTTTTATAATGCATGCCTGAAACCTTTACACATCACAATAGTTTAACAAGTTTAATCTTTATCCTTTATGCTAAGCAGACAGCCTCCTGTCATTCATAGTTTCAGGACTTGTACATCATTTAGGAATTATGCTTATTATTTTTCTGGTAGGTAGATACTTTGGACAAACAAATAGGACTTTCTTGTTTGTGAACTCCCAATCAGCAGTTAGCTTAGCTTAACCAAAGGAACTCTTGGGCTGTGAGAGGAGAACTAGTCTGACTCAGTCCCATGATTTACCACACTTTAACTTTGCGTGGCAGGTTGTTTATCACGTATTTCTTCTTTGAATTAATAAGTTTACCTACTTTTGTAGATACAGATATGTTGGTTGTTGTGCTTAATAAAGATCTCCAAAGGAGCTTTTAGTAAATGAACAGAGACAGACTAGTTTCCAGCTCCTCACACACTGACCTGTACAGTCATCTGCCTTGATTTACAGGTTTTCAGATTCTAGCTATAATTAATGTTTTTAAGTATTACATTTCTAAATCTCCCCCATAAAGTAAACAATTGTGTTTCTCAAAATGTCACACACTCAAATCAGCATCATCTTTAAATCAATATTCATCTAAATGACTACTTACTACTTGCCATGTTAGCCATGGAGGTGTCAACATCACCCGCTTGTGGGGTCACAGTGGGCTTCATTAGGTCCCCTAGCCCATCAAAAACTACACCAGGGAGACGGAGGGAGACGTTAGCGTCCTTCAGTGAGAGCTATCCTCACACTCTACCACGACTCAGCAGGACTCTTCACTAGTAGGCATTACCATGACAACCACTACATGTCTCTATGACAACTGAGAGAAGAGCACTGGCATGTGCACAAATTGGAGAGTTGGCATCATTAATACAAAATAGGGAACTTGGTTATTTTATCTACTTTTAAATGGTTTCTATCTTGTATAGACGAACTGTGCTTTTTATCTGAGCAATCGTATCATGACAGTTTAAGGGGATTGGTAATTAGATCATTGTGTTATTAATTTAAGTATGTGGGACACACAATATAAACCTTAGTTTACCCAGTTGTTTCTGTGATTAATGGTTGACATATTTTGAGGTTTTTTTATATTGTGTTTTAAGATGCTTCAACATTTCTTGTTGTTCTTTTGGCTGCTAGCTTTTACAAGCGTCCACAGAAAGACAACTCTCGATGTAACAATTGTTTTACACCAGACGCTCTCCCTGACACAGCCTGGGCTCGAACCTGCAGTCTCAGGGTTACAAGACCACAGACCCGGCTTCAAAATTTGTGATGAGGGATAAAAACAGCAGCTAGAATGAAGGCAGGCTGCATGTAAAAGCTCCTCTTAACTAATGTGACTATTCTACCCAGATCCTCTTTGTAGCCATCAAGCATCTGGTGGCGATGGGGGGACAGTGAAGCGTGGCTTGAGCTGCACCACTGCAATGCAGTGCAGTGCACTGTGGGGAAAAAGCGTGTTAAATAGCAAGGGGACTCACCCAATCAAATGGCAGGAAGCAAGAAATGAGCCAGCCCAAGAGCCAGATGGAGAAAGAGAGCAGGGCAGATTGAAGGAGAAAAACAGAGGACAGCAAAAAGCAGAAGTGCCAGAGTGAGAAAAATAAATCAAGCAGTGAGGTTTTTAAAATAGTGGGCGACAAAAACTTCATTAAAGGTTAGCTATGAATGGGGAGAAAAGAGAAAGATTTAAGCCTTAAAGCAGCGATATTGCAGCTCTTTATTTTAATATGACTTCAGTAGCGCAGAACAAGAGGACCATGATTCAGGTGAACAGAGGCTTTTGTTTCCATGGTAACAGCCACTTGATGCATAGGTTTGAACTATAGAAAACATGGAAGGAATTCCCTATCCCAGAAGAGAAACAGCCCCAGTATGAGTCAAATTAATGACAATGTTAACCACACATGGGCACAGTTTAAATTAAATATTTATTACTTTACTGACACTGCACCAAAAAATTAAAAAAGCAGTCACATCAAGTGAAGTTTAAAGTTTAGATGAGTAGATCAATTTAAAAAGAAGACAATTTCATTCACTTTTACCAAAGTTTATAGAAACAGTGACTGATAAATGCAAAACCTGTGAAACATATCATATGAAACGGCTATTTGAAAAAAATTATGATGTCTTTAATCTTCTAAAAAATTGCTAAGATGTTAAATGGACAACCAGGCATCATGCACACATGGGATTAAAAGCAGACAAAGAGGAAAGCAAGGCAAACAGAAATATACAAGAGGTTTGGCTCTAATTTACAATAAATTGTTTGCAAATTTTAAAATGGAAGTTGTAAAAAAAGAGGTTTCTTAACCTCTTAAATTGTGCCTCATTAAATCTGTTGAATATCAAAAGCCTCAGCCTCAACCACATTTCAGTGTCCATGTTTCAGCTCAGATTGAAGAAACAAGGTTTTTAAGCTACATATAGACTGCTTTAAAATCACATATTAAAATATTTCTCATTAATAATATGAATCCTAAACGTTTATGTTAGTTGTGCACACATCTAGTTTATTTAAATGTGAAGTTTTCTAATGAAATAGGAACACAAACAATGTTTCTCATGTAAACAAAATAACAAAATTAGGCAATTATTGCATAACTATATGGAAATTTTGTACAAATAAAGAGGTTGAAGTACTGTCCTAACGTGGATCAGTGCTGCCTTCTGTATTAAAATCAGTAAAATATCTGCAACATGTCACGTTCTGTTGGTGCACGTGCAGGGTGGGACCGCAGGATTTACCTGACATCAGCTCAGAACCCGGAGCAGCAGGAGCAGCAGCTGCTGAGGCGTCGCCTCCTGTGGACTCTGCGGCGGGTCAACAAAAACACGACCACACCGCGTCAAAACACGTTCAGCCGTGTCCATCGCAGCATGGGGGGCAAAGAAGGGTAAGAATCAGCTGTCGCTTCCAACACTAGTGATTTCAGACAAAAGGTTTTCAGTTAGAAACGATGCTTGAATAGAGAAAAAACAACATTGTAAAGTCAAAACATAAAATTCAAGCACACAACTCTTCATTCATAAAAAAAAAAATCTGTTCAAAGCTGTGATCAACATTAGTAGGTCCAGATGCGCAAACGTCAGAACAACAACATATTCAAACCCTTTACAACTCGTCAAACTCCAGCTCCATGACAGATATAACCCTTTAAGCAATATTATCCGGCCGGAGAAATAAAACTATAAATTTATTAGAACTGAGTTACCAATCTGTGACAGATCGAATCTCTATTGTCCCTCGTGTTTAAAAACTGAGCGTCCTTGGAGCAAACTTCGATTATTATTCATGCCAATTAGTCTACTTTGACACCAAAACAATTATGCTTACATTTTCAATTTTTTTATATATATTTATATGAAAAGAGTAAAAACATTTAAATGGGTCAGAACAAGCTCTTGTTTGCTTTGCGTCTCTGAAAAAAGGTAATTAATTTCAGAATAAATATTTTGATATATTACATTAAAAAAAACAGTCCTAATTCATACATTTTAAATAAATAGTGATCCAGATTGGCCTTTGTCTAGGATCAAGTTTTTAATTTGGACACCCATGTAATTGAGTTTGACACTTCTGCTTTACAACAAAGTCCATGCTCAATAATCCAGGTATAAAATCCAACATTTTTCAGTCAGGTCATGTGGAAAAAAAAATAAAAAAAGAAACTGTCCAGATGACCTGACTGAAAAATGTTGGACTTCTGCTTTAGATAATAAAATCAAAACTCCTCACCCAAAGTCGTCACTTTTATTTCATAAATAGGGTGAGTTTTACAACATAACTAAGCTTCATTTCAACATTTTCATCCAAGAGAAGCTGCAAATAACACAGTCACTTTAAAATAAATACCAGTCATTACATTTGACATGTTTAAGTGTTTATTTGAAGAACTGAGAACAAACATTAAGGGCAGGCCATTGAGTTACCCACCACCAAACAAGCTCATGATGGCTCCTGTGTCAATTTTGGGTGGGGGTGCCGAAGAGCCATTGGGTGCAGGAAAGCTGAACAACTCCGCTGGAGAAGGCAAGGTGGAGATAAGGTTGTGAGCCTAACACACACTTTTACAAAAAGCACTCCAACTATGACAATGATTCATTACAATGCACCACCAGTTGCAGTTGCAGTACATGCTGGAATAGGAAAGGAGGTAGGAGTCATTTAGTGAACGTTTCAGACAGCTCAATAGCTTTTAGCTGACCTGTAAGAGAGCAATCTCATTTCCTTTTTCTGTTCCCTGATCGTAGCCAAGGACGAAACTAAAAGGCAGACAGAGCTGGACAGAACAGAAGAAGATGCACGCAAGAAGGTAAACCGAGTGCATTCAGGGTACCTGCTGAAAACAAGTCAGCGCTGGGAGAAGGGTCCGTTTTAGACAAGCCTGTGTCAAAAATATCTAGGAATACATGCACCCCCCACCCCCACCCCCAAAGAACAGAACATCAGTGATCAAATTCTTTAAAAATAATGAAGCTCAAATACAGCAAACTTATAAACATGTGCACAAAAACAAATAAACAAACAAAAAAAAACAGTAGTCCCTCGCTACTTGCGGTTCAACTTCCGCGGACTCGCTCTATCGCGGTTTTTCAAAGCAAGCGTGAACACGAGAAAGAAAACTTGTGCACAACACACGATTGTCAACTTTAATATTACTCATGTGAATGGGACAGTACTGTGCACTGTAGAGTAAAAACTTAACGAAAAATAAAATACTTCACACAGGTTTTGTAGTTTTCTCTCAATAAGCCTACATTGCATCCCTGCTCATAACAACTACATTTCCCAGAAGCCAACAGCGCTCCACCCAGAAGCTCCATTTCCTTCTGCTAAAATACGTACAGGGAAAGTTTTGATCTGATCTGAAAAAGTTTGGCGCTTATTATTGTACAGTGACTTCAGCTCCCAGCGGATGCAGAGACCCGCACAGAACCCACTGAACTGCACCAGAACCGGACCTCCAGACCCATTGGTGAATCTTAAGAACTGGGAGACAGCCCACGAGGACTTCCAAGTAGGACGCGCAGCGCCGAAGTTCTGGCACTCCATCCTGAGTCCACTGGGACTCTTTTCATCTCTCGGGCCGGAGCAGAACCGAGCCGCTGCTGTTCTACAGAGCTGGTAATATTTAGTAGCTACATATACAGTACTGTAGGTATGTTGTTAAAATGATGTAGGTTTAAGAGTTTATAACATTGCAAGAGTGTGGGAAGGGTTTATAAAGCCTTAAAATATAAGTATATAAATACTAAAATAAATTTAATGTTGCTACTTCGCGGATTTTCATTTTTTGCGGGGGGGGGGGGGTCTGGAACGTAAATCCTGCAATAAACGAGGGACTACTGCAAAATAAAAACAATGACTCTTATGGGAGAGAGGTGTTCAAGCAACATTTGTGCAGAGAGCCAAAAAGATGCAAATACATCAATAAAAGACAGTGATATGAATGTAGAATGACACACATCTCTTTACCGCTGAAGAGATCGGTCGCAGGGCCGGTGGTGTTTGAGACCGAAACGGCTGCGACGGTGGTGGTGGAGGATGTGGAGGTAAAGAGCGGTGAGGGGGAAGGGGAGGAGGGGGTCTGGGTCGGTCCAGAACTAAAACAGACGTCCAGTGAATTGTTGCTTTCCATTGTCATCGTGCCAAAAAGATTGATACCAGAAGAGGCTGCGTAGGCACTACCGTCTGAAGGAGCGAAAGGGTCTTTTGGACAGAAGTGGGGGTTAGGGTGAGAATGAATTGAACACATGGGTGGGGGGGTAGACAAGGAGTTTGACACAAAGATGACTTTAATGACTGTGGTGAAGAAGTTTCAGGTAGTTTTAGATGAAAAGAGTCTAGTTGGACATCCTAAAAAATAATCACTGTGAGCTTATGCAAAACAACAACTAGTAAAATACCTTATTTTACAGCACTTTATATCAATTTAATTTACAAAATATGTTTTTATTTAGTCAATCTCACTATACTGTTAGTGACAAGTATGTTGGTACAGTACTGTATAAATGATGTAAGGAATAAAAATAATACTGTTGCCATGAAAAGAGGAGAAAGAAAAGGAAAAAGTTGAGAAATGATTAAAGGAGAAAGTACGCTGGTCCCCAACACACGTTAGTGGCATTTATGATGGGGGGGGGGGGGGGGGGGATGACTGCTGGAACAAACACTTTCACATTATAAACCTTCACACTAAACCAAATCTAAAATGCAAAAGCAGAAACTATCAGAAGAAGCTGACTCCAATAATGAACGCTCAAAGAGTTTGTGTTACTAAAAAACAAACTAAAAAACCCGTCCAATATATTTCCTGTGACTGTAACCGTTCTAATGTTAGTCTTATAAAACAGAGGCAGTAAAGAACGGTGACTCTTCCCTTATCTTTTAACGGTAAATTAAGACGAACAATGAATACGCACGTAAATAAAAGCACACGCTGTTATGCAAACGTTTGTATTTCATTCCTCCAAAAACGTGTTTAGTTTAAGTCATATATTTGACTTTTAGGTAAATGTAGCCATAAAAAAGGGATGCTTTGTTCTGCCCTCTGGTTTGGCGTTCATGCAGAGAGCGGCTCGCTAAGAACGTCACTCGTGTCGGTGAGCCAAGGTCCTGTCATGAACTGGTAGCTTAGAAAAAAAAAAGATGCAGTAGTCCTCTTTACATTAGCACCTACACACAAACACATCCATATTTTTTCTTTACCCACTTTTTTCCGTTCTGGCTTATACGGAGGAGCTGGTGCCCATCTCCAGCAGTCACTGTCCGAGAGGCGGAGTCTCGCAAGTCCATCACAGGAACACATTAAGACAAACGACACAAACCATCCCAAACACATTCACACCTTCTCAGAAGCAGACACAGATCAGTTTTTGGTCACCCACCAGCTCCAGCGTTTGAGGCTGGGGTGGACGTAACGGCGGCCCCACCCTCTGCTGCCGCAGCAGTGGCCTCAGCGGCAGGAGCAGGCGTCGCAAAGGCATCTGACGTTCACGCAAAGCCCAGGATGGAAACGCCAAAAGAAAGAGGAAGGTATTGAAGAAAAGAAATATAGTCAAGAAATACCAAAGCAGTAAGTAAATGAAGGTAAAGGAAAAACATTTCAGCATAACATTTAAGTAGCACTCGCTGTTGGATTGCATTCGACTGTAAAAAGACCGTAACTTGCAGCATTGATACGTAACATCGATGACTGATAGGTGAATGGATAAATGGGTGTACAGACAGGAGGCACTACACAACAGGATTAATCTAATGCACAAAGAGCAGCTTTCTATAGATGTGACAGGTGCCAGCAGTGACTGTGGCCGTGTAATAGCGTTTGATAGCATTGCTTTTCATCAAGGCCAAAGCAAAGCATGCCAGCCTATCAAACAAGAAGCATGTGGAGAATGTTTATATGTTCATGAACACATGTTGAGTGTTTCTAAAATGATTCTCAAGCTAAATGTATGTGAGGATAAGAAGGATTTTTGAACAGTATGGTTTTAAAAATCTACAATGTCTTTGCTTCCATGGAGCTAGAATGCCTTATAATCTTTTACAGTGGTCTTCTCAATAGATTTTCAGGGTTTATAAAGTTTTTCTTTGGTTTTTGGCTATTTTTTTAACATGTTTTGTCCAGACCTTGTACCATGACAGCGCACTGTGCAGTCAGTGTGTGCTTAAAAAAAATGAGAAAAACAGAAAAGTGAAGGACAAAATAAGAGTCAGGCTTAAAACAACTGTTTACGAGAGATCTGAAATAGAAATAGATAAATGCCCTGCAAAGACTTGAAAGATCCATCATTTAACTGAAATAAGCAGCTAATAGCGCTACATCAGCTTGTTGATGCTAAATTGCTATTTTTGTTTGTGAAATTGGAAATGTTGATATAGTTTTACAACTACCTATAAAAAAAAAAATCGAAGCAATTTTTTTATTTTTTTGTCATGTTTGCCTAAAGATAAAAAAATGTCCTAGTTGTGCATAAACACCCCCCCCCCCCCAAAAAAAAAAAAAAAAAAACAATGGTTCATCTCTTGAGTTTAGGAGTCCTTTCAAGCCTTAAAAATATATACCCTTCTGGAAAAAACTCAGGTAATTAAAATGACTGAAAAACAGTCAAAGAAAATCTTAAAACTCCAGAAGACCTGAAGAACTTTTGATTCAGACCACTTAAAATGAAAAGAAACTTTAGCTGATTGGAAGCAGAAGAGAAAGGACTCAAGACTTTTGCACAATAACGTAAGCTGTATTGGTTTCTTCTGCTTGAAAGGAAGACTCAAACTGTTATTTAATTTTTTTATCCAATATAATCAGCAAATTACCAAATTTTAAAGTCACAGTTTAGTCTCATAATGTTAAATCATGATTTTCTTATAAACTTCTGAAGTAATTTACTTTGTATTTGAAAGAAAACTTATAATAGAGATTTTTCTTTAAAAAAATGTTTAAAATGATAATTACCTACTGTTCGAAATCACTGCATGTGAACATCAAAACTAGGATGCTACTGTTGACTTGCAGCTTGCTGCCAAGCTGCTACAATGAGCCAACAGCAGAAAGCTAGTTCAAACTAACATTAGCGCAGTGATGATTTTCTCCCAGCATTTTACAAAGATTAATCATTAACATTAATCATAACATCAATTTTAGATTTACATATTAAAAAAAGAAAAACTTCTAAGTATTAGTATGATCTGTATGGGGTGCCGTTTGTAAAGTTGCACAGTCAAAAATGATCAATATTTTGGCTTATTTACATTTCAATAAGAAAAAAATAGTTGTTGTTTTTTTCAAATTCATATTTTTACCATGTTATTCATACAATTTTAAATGTCAAAGTTCCCTACTAAATATTTCATTTACAAGATAAATATTTAGTTTACAAACTAAAAACTTAACTTGCAAGTTAAATATTTAGTTAGTAAACTAAATATTTAGGTGTGCATTAAATATTTAATTTATGCCTAAATATTTAGTTAGTAAACTAAATATTTTGGTATAAATTAAATATTTAATTTACACCTAAATATTTAGTTTAGTAACTAAATATTTAATTTATAAGTTAACCATTTAATTCCTAAACTAAATTTTTAATTTGTCAAATAAATATTTAGCTTGGACCTAAATATATATTTTACAAACTAAACATTTAATTTCCAAAATAAATATTTAATTGGCTAACTAAATATTTACCTCAGACCTAAATATTTAACTTGCTAGTTAGATGTTTAACTTGTTAGATAAATATTTAACTTGCTAGTTAAATATGTAGGTCCGAGTTAAATATTTAGTTAGCAAATTAAATATTTAGTTTAAGAATTAAATGTTTATATTAGAAATTAAATATTTAGTTAGTAAACTAAATATTTATATGTAAATTAAATATTTAATTAATACCAACATGTTTAGTTTACTAACTAAATATTTAACTTGCAAGTTAAGTATTTAGTTTGTAAACTAAATATTTATCTTGTAAATTAAATATTTAGTTGAGAACTATGACATTTATAAATGTATGAATAACATGATGAAAATGTGACTTTGAAAAAAAAAAGTTCTTATTAAAATCTAAAAAAGTCAAAATATTGATGTTAATTTTTGACTGTGCAACTTACAAATGGCACCCCATATTTCAGAGAGTTTAGAGTCCTGTCTACACTACCATTTTCTGCTGGGTTTACACTGCTTGTCAACACATACAATAAATGCAGATTTTGGTGAGAGGAAAAAAAAAGATTTGTAATATTGGTTTCGAAAGAACAGAGTTTAAAATATATATTCTTGTTGGTGTATTTATATGGAAACGGATCTTTTCAAAAACAGTGACATAATGACCTGTTTTACGTGTGCCCTCACTCACATCGTGCCCTAGAAACCCAAACAACAACGAAGCCGTTTTTACTGGAGTTTCTAAGTCTGTCTGGCTTTAACCTGATATTGGCACAATAAACTTTAAATGTGTACTGAAATAGTTATTAACATTATTAAAGTTGACGTTCTCGCCACATAGTACCATATGAATTTTTTTTCTTGTTAGAATATTGTAAAAGAAGACATTTAAAAAATGGAAACCTAAAATATTTGTTTAAAATAACATCTGGAATGTAAACAAGATTATTTGAAATAGTTCGCAGAAGTTCCTTTTTTTTTAATCATATTTCTTTTTTTAATATACAATTATATTTTTAAGGCATGATTAATAAAAGCTTTGAGAATTCATAGTTTAAATCAATTTATAGCTGAAAATGGGTGAGACATGCAACTTCTTTTTATGCTTATTTCTGCAGTGAGTGAACAACTTTTGCTTTCTTTGAGCACTTAGTCGTCTGTGTTCTCATGTTGTGAGGTGAATTTCAAGGCTGAGCTTCCCAGAGTGAATCCTTTTGTAGAGAATTTTCTGGAAGCCCACTGACCTCCCAATAGATCCGTATTGGCGGCACCAGGGGAAGTGGTGGCTGCTGTGCTAGTGGGAGGAGCTAGAGAACCTCCGGGTTCTGCCGCCGCAGGGGTGGGCGTTGCTGCTGCAGAGGAAGGGGCGGGCTCTGCGGCGAGTGGGGGTTCAGATAGCAAGGAGTCGCCCATTTCTGCCGATGGGGGGTGGGGTTTAAAATTACCAAGTAGAGGCAGCAAAACAAACCACAAGGGAGGGGGGCAACCAAAACAACCAGAGGAGTCACCGATGTGACGGAGAAAGAGAAGGCCAAAACAAAATTCCAGTCAAATCAAAACCATTGAAGATCATTTGAAAATGATCACCAAAAACAAGTTAAAATCGCAAAAAGATCCAATACCACCCAATCATAACCAAGAAATTAAAAAAATAATAATAATAAACAAAAAAATGTTTAAAAATTGCCCCCGTCATAAGCCAAAAACAGACAATGGAGTATGTGGAGGGAGGGGAAAGAGAAGGTAGAGAAAAACAGAAAGAGTACTCAGACTAACAACTCAAGGAGACAAACAGGGAGGCAACACTGCTACTCTATACTCTAATCTAACGCTTACTTCAAATTCTAACATTACTATTGATGCTGAGTCACATTACATTAGTTAAAGAAGACTTTAAAATGACTGTTTTAGACCTGAACTTACAGGTGAAATGAAGGTGGAGGAGAAGCTTACCTGAGCCAAGAAGATCTATGGAAGCAGGAAAACAAAGAACAGGAACATTTGTGGCAAGAGGTTTTAGAGTGTTAGGAGCCAAAACATTTTGTTGACATTCTGTTTCACAGATATTCATCAGACTGGTGAAAATAGTGATCAGACTACATGTTTTCATGTCAGTTCCAGTTATTTCTGTGTATGTCCTCAGATGGAAGAGCAAATCTGAGTAGGACCCGCTTACCTCCCCAAGATGTTGGGGCAGCTGATGGTGCTGAGGGACCAGAGGAGGCGAGAGGATCCAGGTCCAACAGAGAACTAGAAAATGACATCATTAGGGTCATTGTGAGGTGTGATTTATTATTCACCATTTTTAACTATTAAATGCACATGTAACCTGCATTTACACTTTGATTACTTTATGTTATTAATGTCTTACACATTAGCACATTACACCAGTTTTGGCCTCCCTTCACTGGCTCCCGGTTCACCTTCAAATTCATTTAAAAATCCTTCTGTATGTTTTTAAATCTCTGAACAGTTCTGCCCCCTCCTATCTCGCTAATCTGCTGCAGCCATATGTTCCACAGCACACTCTGAGGTCAATAGACCAGATGCTTTTATTGGTTCCAGGCACTCATTTTAAGCTCAGAGGTGACAAGGCCATCTCTGTTGCAGGTCTAAAACTGTGGAAAGAGTTACCATTGTATGGCAGACGGGCTCCCTGTCACTGTTTTTAAGTCTCATTTGAAAGCCCAATTTATTCCCTGGCTTTTGACACTGTCAGCAGATTTTAACATCTGTATTCCATAATTCCATTCAATTCAAAATTACTTTTTTCCCAAAGGGAAATTAAGTATTGTCATAGCGCATCATCCTGGTTTCATTAGAAAGTTGTTATAGATGCCGATTGCTGTGGGCAGGAAAGATCTCGTGTAGCAAATCTGAAGAATATGGCCACAGATACTGATCCATCCACTCGATTCTAGCTTGCTGTCAGATCCAGCAGGCCTCTCGGTCCTCCTGGACAGCAGGACTGCCCGAACGCCGGGCAGAATTCCTCCCTGAGCAATGGTCACTCCTCCCAGCGGTCTGCCAAGCTCCTTGTCGCCACGGACAGACAGCTGAAGGTGCCAGGGGATGATCCCGGTCCTCCCGTTGTCATGAGCCAAGTTTCCCACCAGCTCCAGGATCTCGGTTGTCAGGTACTCAAGTACTGCCACCAGGTTGACGGGAAATCATCCATGGCACCTCTTTTTCAACTCATTTGGGATTTGGGGCTGTAGTTGAAGTATTTGAGCTTTTGAGATGTTAATCAGCTGCTCCTGGTTGTTAAAAAAAACACCTTGTTGCCATGGTTACGCATCATAAATGCCCAAAAGTAAAACGGTTTCAGAAAAAATCCTTCCAGCTGCACAGCATCTGATACCAAAAAAATAATCATCCGATAAAAGTGATTTACTGTACATCCAGAAAAAAACAGGAATCAAAGTTTTCAAAAGCAATAACTCAGAATGAAAATAACAGAGCTGCTCCAACATGCAGCCACCCCAAGCAGCACAATTCTAGAACCAACAATAATGTTAGTCATTTAGTTCTTATCTTTATCTATTTGGATCCATGTATTTCATCCTGTGGCCTTTGCTTGTTTTGTTTTTGCTGTACTGCACATTGGTTGACCTTGTTGCTGTTTTAAGTGCTTTATAAATAAAGTGGTATGATATGGTATGGTATGGTATGGTATGGTATGGTATGGTATGGTATGGTCTTATAAAAATAACACCAAAATATGATATGTAAAATTGCTAGAATGATTAAAAGAAACGGCGTTTGTTCCTGTAATTACACGTTACAAATTTGCATATAGAGTATTTAGTAATTATGCCATTTGTGGTATCAATAATTTTGTCTAAAGGTTTTAATTTTTTTGGAATATAAAATAAACAAGAAAACCACAGAAAGATGAAGTAAGGAGCTAAAAGAAGTGAACAAGAACATACTCTTCAGCTGGTTCAGGAGCAGCAGCACCAGCAGCAGCACCCCCGTCCCCAGGAGGAGGCTGCAGCGTGGGGACGGCATTGGAGGATTTGGCGGGAGTCGATGTTGGAGACACGTTGTTTGTTGGAGACCCCTGGAAAATAACCCCACGTTTTCAGTTGATGCATCAGACAAACAATGAAGAACAACAAGAACAAAGAAAACTTTTCATTGTGCATCTCACCTTTGTTGGAGACCTGAAAGTGTAAAAGAAGGAGCGATGGTCAGACGTTTATTTAAAATAAACTGCTCTGTTTGACACAGACTAAGACAAATGGATCATTTTTCTCAGGAGACCAAACAAGCATCAAAAATAAATATCATCACATGATCACATGAAGAGTTCATTTCCAAACTGACATAATGTGTCAAAAATGAGTGTACTAAATAAAAACATATAAAGAAGACTGTTCAAAACAGCCTGAAGTTTAAATGTCACTTGGGACAAAACCCTTCATGTACCGATTCACATTTTATATGACAGAACACGTGTGACTTATGTTTCAAAGCATGTGTCCCTGTCAGAGATCACATCTGGAATCACAGCACCAGTACACACATTTCCACATGTGAATCCAGTTAGTAACTGGACTAAACTCATTGAAAGCCTGAACGTAAGTTCGGGAAACACTTTAAAGTATTTACCAGACCCTTCTTTTTTTACACTTTGTAAATAATTAACTTTGCCTTAACATCCATAAGTACAGTAACTTGTGTAGTTGTTCACCTCTTTTGAAAACTTTGAAGCAGTAAAAGCATGCATGGGTTGTATCAGACAATAATAAAAGTGCATAACATACATGATTCACATGTGAACAATGTGTAAAATTTACTTTTTGGTGTGTTGGGGTGACAGTAGAAACATCTACATACATCTTTTAGGCAGTAAACTTTACACAAAATGTACAATAAGTGCTCACCCTTCACTGGTGTTTCCAAATCAACACAAAAGAGAATAAAAGAAAGGAGGGGGTTAAAGGAAATGATGGAAATTTCACTTTCCACCAGCACTGCATTGAGTTTAATGTTCTACAACAAAACAGTTCTCATCTTCTTTCATTATAAAGCAAGTGAGCGTGCAACGAGTTATTAAAACACACTCAGTACTTACAATAAGCTAACAGAGCTTTCAGTAAGACTGATGTTAAAACTGAGCACTTGTTCGTTCATGCCCTCTGCAGACACAGTCCAGTTCCTGTTTTTCATTCCTGAACTTTGCCACAGAAAAACTGACGTTTTGCCAGGAAGTGGCATTGGCAGCTCATTTTATAAACACTATAGACACCAAAATAATTTATCTAGAGCGACAGATTTGTACAACATTTGTTGGTTCTTTGTAATTTTATATTCTAGGGCTACTTGATATTTCTATCATAGTGACAGTTCAGATCTTTTCTACGTTATAAAACCTTTTCGCTACCGTCAATTGTGCATCACATGGTTAAATAAGAATTTATTAATGTTGCATATTAAATGGAAACATTATAACGTTCTTGCTTGCATTTGTGCTTACAAAAAAAATTATGTAAATGAGCATGTAATGCAAAATGAACAGCAACACAAAGGTTTATAAAACAGTGTTCAAATTAACTGCTGAGTTTTTCTAAACGAATGTTTTAAGATGGCAGCACTTTGGTCTGCATTTACACAAACTTGCCATTAGCTCTTAAAGATGGTCAGAAAAAAAGAGAAAAAAAAAGCTATCTACAACAGGTAAGATATTAATTGTCCAAACAGAACCCCCATGGTCTAAATAATCACTGCCAGTTAAAAATAATGCAAATGTCTTGTGAAAATAAAAGGGAACGGGGAATGACGTTTTCAATTCAATAAAGTTAAATCCATTTCAAAGACGACAATGTTCAAACTTTGCCTTACCCCTTCTTTCCACCTTTTACGTCTTCCAGGCCGTTCATGTGCGTTTCCAGAGACTCCAAGATACTGCTGGGAGCCTGACAACAAGGAGTCATGAATCAACAATCCTTTGGACACAACTCCTGATTACCATATTTTTGGGACTATAAGGCGCATTAAGTGTAACAAAACAGTCAGATAAGTCAAACTTTATTCAACTCATTCACAATAACTCCATAAAATTGGTTCGAGGTCAGTAAGCACAATCAGAATTAATACATAAGGTGCACTGGATTATAAGGCTCCTGTCGATTTTGGAGAAAATTAAACGATTTTAAGTGCGCCTTATAATCCGAAAATTACGGCAATATCCTCAGGTGCCTTTAGTCTGAGTTTACATTTCAGCCACAAAGAAAGTGGCGAAGAAGTTTTGAAAAATCTCACTGCAAGATTCACGTGCATGTAAAACACACAAAGACACACACGTTTGTTTCGTCAAATTAGATCATCATCAACATGCTGACACTTCATCCCGTAGCTAATCAGGCACCCAGTCAGGGCACCCCTTGTTTCTATGGTTACCGGGTCCTCAAGGGGCGTAAAAGGACAGTCTTCATCGTCTGAGTCAGCGAGGTCCACCACTACCCCCGGGTGGAGACACTGAGCGGGAAGACGGTGTGTGAGAGTTGTGTTTCTATTTATGTGTTTGTGTGAAAAAAGGATTCACGGCTTTTATTGGTTCATATTATCGGTCCGAATCCTTCCAAGAAATCAAAAGTTAACGGCCAAGAGTCACAATTAAAGATAACTCACGTAGTTGATGTCAGGAATGTCGTTTTTGTCAACTCCAACTGTCTGTTGAAGGAGAAACATAATTAGAGGCAATAAGCTCCGAACAGCTCGGCCATGATGCAGAACACGCTTTACCTCAGCCAGCTTCATGAACTCCCCAATTTTTGTCACCCGGGTCAGAAACCTCTTATAGATCTCCAAGGCCTCCTTACAGTCACTTTTTTTCATCTTGAAGAATTTTTCTGAGCACAGAAACACAACTTTCATCAGTCGCACACGAGTAGGTGATTGTTTCTTTATTAACGGTGACCTCACCTAACAGGTTGATGATCCCATCGTTGTAGGAGGCAAACAGCTTGACCAGATCTTTGAAGAGAAGGAGGAAGGCAGCGTTGATGATCCCGTTGTTCAGCTCCTTGGGGTGCACCTGAGAGGAAGTGGGACAGCGAAAAAAGAATTCAGTTTGATTGTCGAAATAAAAACCTTTGGTGGAAAACGTGCTGAGCCAAAGTCAAGACGCACATCGAACTCCAGGAGAGTATCGATCTGAGTCTGCAGCACAGGCATGCCTTTCAGCAGCTTCTCTGTGGTCATGGTTCTCATCACGCCCTCAGCACTGAGAAGATACAACACAGAGAGCGTTCCTCTGAAAATAACACCATGTGCTTATTTGCAACTGCTTTGATCATGAATGACTTCATTCATGGATAAGATGAGTTTTAGGTGAAAAACATAAGCTGGAGGTGTTGGTTTACCCTTTCTTGACTCTGGTGAAGTCAAAAGCCATCTGGCGGTAGGCGAAGGCTTTCTCGTTCAGGTACCGTGCATATCGCCTGATGAATGTCGACATGTCATAGCCTAAACAGATGGAGAATAAAATCAGGAAGACGACAGAAAAAGATGATTTTTTTTTGCTTGAAAATGTCAAATTTAGCTTTTCTTCGTAAATTGATTATCAAAATGATCAACATCTCATTAATGCCAGGCGATAAGTCCTTATTGTGTCCCAAACAGATAGTTTTGTTTCTTTTGTTGTTGAAAAAATATATTTACATATTAAAAGATGCATTTTTTAAAATAATAATAATAATAATAATTAAAAAATCTGAACAGCTAGCCAATATGATGGCACAACTAGAAAAATTTTGCCAACATACACTGAATATTATAATGTTTTTTCATTGTTTTTAAGACTAAAATGTCATATAAAGATAAAATATATAAAGATATAAAGCTCTGATTATGATTAAAAAAACATGGCAAGCAAGAAATTTACATTTAACAATATGAAATGTTAAATTCCATTAAAATATTTTGACATTAAAATTTCTATTAAAAAATGTTTATGGCCAAATTTTGTTGCATTTAAGTTTTTTTTTGTTTGTTTATTTTTATATTTTAAATGTTCAAATAAAAAATTGTGACAAGAATTTTCTGTAATCAAAATAAATAAATACACCTATAAACATCTTGACATTTTTATTTTTACCACAAATGAGAAATACAGCATGTTAATGATGATAAAATAGTTAAAAATAATCCCAGAAAATGAGAAAAACAAGTTTTCAAATAGGTTTAATTTAGTAAAATTAGTCATACCTTGAATTTGTAATAAAATAACTACAAAAAAATGTATGAATAGTATATAATAAAATTCTAAATTACATTCAAAACGGAAAAACACAATGAGTGTCCTTCCAGTTTTGTTGTTCGTTCAATAAACAGATGTAATAATAAACAATGTCTGTTCTTAAATCTCACCATGAGAGCCAGTTTTGTCAATGAAATTGCTGAGGTTGAACAAGGAGGTCCTGGACGCCAGGTACTGAATGAACCTCTGAGAACGAGACCACAAACACGACTGTCATGAGTTAACCATTCAAGTGTTCACAAATGCCACCACACTCATTCATTAGTATTTTTTTTTGGTTACAGTAACCAATTAAACATGCATGTTTTTGGTCTGTGGGCAAACCCCCTGTGTCTAAAGACTAAACTCTACAAAGAAAGGCTGGGAGGCAAACCTGTGCTAATCACTGCTGCCCACAGTTTAACATTAAATAACAAAACAAAAAAACATATTCCTGCGAGATCAATAAAGTTCTATCTTATCTTATCTGATCTTATACTGTATACACAAATGTTGCACATTAACCTGTGAACGAACAAAACAAGTTGAACAAACCACAAAAACAGCCATTAAATAAACTAGATTACCTGCCCTGCTCTAGATGTTGATTATAGCTCATTCTTGCAGCTCACAGATTTAAGATTACATTAATCTGACTTTTAAAAAGAAGTACGATGTGAATATTTGTCATGCCCTTGTTAAAGTGCACTTGTTTATATAATTTCCATGAGGTTCTGATGCTCAGTCAGTGGCTATAGAGAGCTGGACTACAAGATGAAGGTAACACTTCAGCTGTGATGAACCAAAAGATTTAAGAGTCACAAAGGAGGATTTCTTTGAGCCTGATTAGATCACCATGGTAACAGAGACTGATAGTTACAGCTTAAACAGTCAATAAGAAGCTCCATCTGTTCACCTATTCTTTTCTTAATGAGATCTCAAATATTAAAATCAGACTGAAACAGCATTCATGTCATCACAGTTCTGCTGCTGCTGTAAGATTTTAAATTAACAGACTGTTAAATTAAACAAAACTAAAACCAAAACTTCCAGTGTCATCCTGAAAGTCAGTCAGTGCTCTACATTTAGGCGATCAGATATTGGTGTTTTAATTTTCAGTTTTATTCATAATACAATTATTACTTAAGGATGCATATTTTACATATTATTTAACATACTTTTAATATAATAATAAAACCTATGGATTCCAATTTCTGGTAAAATTGTCATTTTACAAGAATTTTTTTAATCAACTCACATAATCACATGTTCATGTTTGTGCTGATGTTCAATAATTTTGTCATGAGTGCTTAGTGTAGTTCAGTCAGGTCATCTGGACGTGTGTTTTTTTGTGGTTTTTTTAGATGTTTTTTCCTTCATCCAAAGGACTTCATCAGTCCGAGGAGCCACAACAAACTCATTCCAATAAGTGGCTTACTCACACAATGGGCCAACCAGTTTTATGATGATAAGATGGTTTCTGGAGTCCGCCCTCTCCCCCGTCAACTCCTCTTAGGCAGCCATAGCCAAAGTGGTTCAAAACATCAAAGTTCATGCACAATTGCGCCACTCAAGGTGGCTGCATGTTGGAGTAGCTCTGTTACTTTCATTTTGAGACATTACTTTTGAAAACTTTAATTCCTCTTTTTTTCTGGATATAAATCACTTTTTTTGGCTAATTATTTCCTCTGGTATCAGATGCTGTGCAGCTGGAAGGATTTTTACTGAAATATCTTTGCTTTTGGACATTTGTTATGATGCGTAACCATAGCAACAAGGTTGTTTATTACAACCGGGAGCAGCTGATTAACATCTCCAAAGCTCAAATAATATCTCAGCCACATCCCCAAATTCCAAATGAGTTGAAAAGGAGGCATCGTGGATGCAGAGCAGGTGCAAAGAAGAGGAAGAGGAGAATAAAATTCAAACCATCTCTTCCATCAATCATGATGGGTAATGTGAGATCGCTGGGAAACCAGTTGGATGAACTTCAAGCCCTAACAAGGACCCATCCAGAGAATCGGGAATGCAGTGTTATGTGTTTCACTGAGAAATGGCTGCAAGATCATATCCCCGACTCCAGCGTTTCTCTGCCAGGCTTTCTGACCATACGAGCAGATAGAGATTTAAAGAGTGGCAAAAGAAAAGGAGGTGGGTTGGCAGTGCTTGTGAACAACAGATGGTGTAATCCTGGACATGTTACTGTGAAGTGTCATCTCTGCACTCCAGATACTGAACTGTTAGCAGTAAGTTGGTCCAACCCTATTTCCATCATGGGAGAAGAAGTGGAGGTGGTGGAGAAGTATAAATACCTTGGAGTTCACCTGGACAACAGACTGGACTGGAAATGCAACAGTGAAGCGTCTACAAGAAGGGACAGAGCAGACTGTACTTCTTGAGGAAGCTGAAGTCCTTCAACGTTTGCAGCAAGATGCTGCATATCTTCTATAAATCTGTTGTAGAGAGCGCTATCTCTTCTGCCATCATCTGCTGGGGGAGCAGCACCAGAGCAAGTGACTTAAAAAACATCAACAAGCTCATAAAGAAGACTGGCTCAGTTCTGGGGACTCCTCTAGAACCTTTGGAGATGATTGTACAAAGAAGGATTCTTCATAAAACGAGGAACATTATAGACAACCCTCAGCATCCTCTTCATCAGCCTGACATACAACAACGGTGTCTTCAGTCAGAGGCTTCTTCAGATCTGTTGTAAGACAGACCACTACAAGAGATCCTTACTGCCCACAGCCATCAGCATCTAGAACAACTCTAATGAAACCAGTATGATGAGTTACAACATTTAATTTCCTTCTGGGATTAATGAAGTAATTTTGACTTGAACTGAATAATCCAGGTAAAAAAAAATTCAATAAAGTTAAGTCAGGTCATCTGGATGGTTTCTTTTTTTTTTGTTGTTGTTGAGACGTTTCATCACAAGGCAGCCACTTTGGCATGATTGGCTCAGAGGAGTCGACAGGGCGGATCCCAGAAACCATATTATCACCAGCAAACTGGTTGGTCCACTATGTGGGTGTGCTGCTTGTGGGACTCAGCTTGTTGTGGCTCCTCGGACTGATGAAGTCTTTTGGATGAAGGACGAAACATCCCAACAAAAAAAGAAACCGCCCAGATGACATGACCAAACTTTGTTGGATTTTTTTACCTGGATTACTGAGCATGAACTTTGACATATATTAAATTGATCTTGCAGCCTCTTCAGAACCACTGGACTATCTAACATACAATATAACATACAACATAAAAATATTCCTGTTACACTATGCCACAGACTTAGCTGAATTAATAATTAGTTAGCTGCAATTCTCTTTAACATGTCTGCTGAGTTTCACCTAGCTCCGGCAGATGAAGCGACCTGACGAGTGGGCGGAGTTTATACACAATCTCTATGTGTTTATATCACTTCTAGCTGGACTGCATACTGGCTAACTAAAAAGGAACAGACCCAGTCACTGCGACCTGACGGTACACTGTAGGTCACCTCCCGATTTTAATTTCATCAGGTAAATGCCAGTACATCATCCTTTAACAGCATAAGATGCATTTAAATGAAAAGGTGAGTATTGATTATTCATTCTGTGTTGGGGGCACAGTGCAGTGCACTAACCTCGTTGCCGTGGACACTTATGTGATGAGTGGTGACAAGAGCCTTGAAGACTACCACCCAGCTGGCGTTGGTGGATCGCTCAAACAGCGTGTCAGCCATCTGAGGGATGTTTACATTGGTGGTGTTGGTGGCTGACACCAGATCTGCAACACAAATACAAAAACACGTTTTTTTCTTCATCTGCCATTTAAAAGAAACTTAAACTTTCAGTGTAAAGCCTTTACATTTATGTGGTGCTTGCATGACTTTAAAAGTAATGTAGTTTAAGTTTAGCCTAAAACAATTTGTCCCTTTGATGAAATTACTTTAATTAAACTTTGACGTATGTGTTCACTGCAGAGCTCTTCCAGACACCCAGGAGACTTTGAAGCCAAGAGGAAAACCTAATGTACTGAAGAAGTAATATTGGCGCAGGATCACACCCACGCACACGCAAGAAAACAATACACTGACAATGCAGAGACGCCAAAAAATATGCTTCGTCATCTCCTCCTCTCTGGTTGTCCCTTCAGACACTAAAACAGACTCTAAAACTGAACCAGATGACTGAAGACAAGCAATATTGCAAAGAAAAAACAGCTGCAGCAGGAAGTGCACATGTAACTCCTGCACATTAACTTTCAACAAAATCCAAATCCTTTTAAGTTTTCAAATCAAATTATGTTTGTTGTACAAAACAAATTAAATGAATCAAATTAGTCAAGTCTCACAACATTTACTCTAATTGCAGAGTTGAATTTATACAGCATGCAAGTTGTCATTATTTTTTTAAGTAAGGCCAGTGTGTTATTTCTCACTAATAATATCCAGAGAAATGAATTGGCGTTTTTATTTAAAGGCCATTGTTGACGCGTCTAACAACATTAAATGTACAAAATGTTGTTGTCTGCTGTAGTAGGCTCATTGTTTCATGCTTGGGTAACTCTGCAGTTAATACACGAGCTCACCGCCTCCGCTGAAGCTCTGAAAGGAACTCTTTATTGGATCATTTTGACAAATACAACTCTGCACACTAAATGGTCAGTTTGCTTTGACAATTGTGTGGCATCAATAAACGGCACATCTATAAAATACTGCAGATCTTCTAAATAAAATCAAGAAAAAAAAGTCTATTCATTTGGCAGATGGTCTTTTTGACAGTCCATCTGTCATAAACATGTAATCTTTTGCATGGTGGTTCTGGTCTGACATGTTTTTTTGTTTGTTGGTGTTGGTGATTCAGTTGCAACAAAGACTCTGTACTGTTCCTTTTGTGTTTTATTAAATGTAAATATAGGAAATGTGAAACAATAGACAAATAAAACACAGTTGGGTGAACAAAAATAATATTTTAACTACTGATGAATTTTCTATTTTTAAAGTCAAACATTTATTCTGTTTATCGAGAACTGGCGTCATTTTTGCTTTAAAAAATCTGTCATTTATCAAAGTGTATGATTTTATCAACCTCATTCTGAATCTCTGGATGTTCGAAGCAGGAACTCTAAATGACTGCTCATTTTTTGTGGCGTCCTTCATCTCAGTCCCAACATGTTAAAACAGATTATGCTTCAACTCGGGCAGTAGCTCAGAGTCATCCGTAACATTTAATCTAAGCTCTACAAATTGAGGCACATTTCTGCTTAAAACTAACTTGCCACTCACTCAAGTTTGTATGTATGGTTAGGAAAATGTCTCATGAACCACAGGATAGATTTTAATGAACATTTTAAAAAAGTAATCACTGAATGTACATCTGTAATAAAATAAAAAAACACGGAGCTAACCCATTTCAAGATGTTTATCACAGCTGATCAAGCTTAGCAAACACAAAAACGACTACAACTCAGCCAGTTTTACAGATATTAAGGTAAAATTGATGTATTACAAATGAACTACCACTACAAGATTGCACAAAGTATTGGGCAATATTATATGAGATTGTGCTCCAGGTGATTCCGGCGATCTTCCGATCACAGGCCCACCTTCTCTAACCTCTGCGCCACCACTCTCCCATAATAATGGTATTTACGTCCTTTTTCTTTCAACATGATCTTAGTTTAAAAATCTGACAGAAAAGACATGAAATACAGGTTGTTCCAAGAAAAATCAAGTTTTTATTGGTTCAAAACTAATAAACTCCCCACTTAGGGTAAAAAAAAAACACTTTAAATGTACTTATTTTAATCACTTCAGATTTAATTAAATCTTCCTTTATGACAAAATGTGACCTGGTACAGTGTGGGAGCTGACATAACTTTAATTGAAGTTTAAATTTTATTATTTTGTGTCTGCTATGTCTTTTCCCCTCTTTGAAACCTGTTTTAATGCAACTTTTGACACAGAGCTTGTGAAATAAATGGAATACATTTTTGTACATTTTAATTTCTTTCTGACCTGAAAACGTTTCTAGGTTCTTGAAAGCCGTTTTACTGTGTTTCTTATTCACACAAACTCATACTTTTTTCCCCCTTCAAACAAACACAATCAGTGTATGGTTCAGCTTATTGGTGCACACATACTAATTAATATCTATCTACACACACACACACACACACACACACACACCTTGAATCCTTGAATATACAATGCACATTTGCAGGATCTATGCAACACTGCTAAGGCTCACCAATCTCCATCACCAGTTGTGTTTGCCCAAGGACATTTAGGCATGCAACAGGGACGGGTTTCAAGCCCCCTATTTTATGATTGGAAAAATAAAAAAACTTTTCTCATTTCACTAAAGAGCAGATCACCATTTTATCACAGTCCGTGAGATTGGACCCAAGTGCATACAGACACGGAGAGCACGAAGGTAAGTAAAAAAATTTATTTATTAAATCAGAGTCAGAGAGTTTTGTCATATTATTTATTATTACTTGATTTTACCAGGAAGAAATCCATTGAGATCATCAATCTCTTTTAAAAGGATGTCCTGGACATACACCACATGTGGTGGAACGAGATTATGTACACAGGGTCCCAGTTACATTCCACAATAAAATGAAAAACAGTAATAAGATCTAAGATATGAACTAAGAAAAACATCAACTAAAAATACACTAAGCACTAATAGCATAAAAACAATAAACACAATACGCCGAACAGCAGCTCGCACATGAGTCTGTATAAGCAGATGAGCATGCATGAACACAGCAACATGAAACAGATCAGTAGCAACATGATGTGATTTTTCTCAGTGATTATTCTGGTTAGAGATTCATGAGTCTAACAGCCTCAGAGTAAAAGCTGTTGCTCAGTCTAGTGGTTCTACACTTAATGCACTTAATGTTCTACACTTTATAAATAAATGACAACAAAAGGCTGATGTGGCAGCAACAACTTACAGCACAGGGGAAAACACAGGGAGGCACAAGGCGGATGAGACATCTGACAGGTTTGCAGAACAATGAGCCGATGGTAAGGTGGTGACAAGGGAAGGTTGAAATAACAAGCTGGGTGAGAGTGAAAGTGGAAACACCTGGGCTGAAGATTGTGGACAGGTGAGGGTGGCAGGCTGAATGGAAAAACACTAGGAAGGTTAAATGAGGGCAAATGGAATATGGCACACACGCACAAAAAAAACAACAGAACTTAAACACAAATATCTCAAAACACAAACACAAGAATATCAAAATCTTTTTTTTTTCTTCGTTTGTCTGCTCCTTTCTTCAGGGGTCGCCACAGCAAATAAATCGCATAAAGACTTGGTGATTATTTTTACACTAGATGTCCTTCCTGACACAACTACAGACCACCGAGCTACCACAGACCTCTGTGTGGAGCAGAGAGCTGCTATCTAGGGCATCTGGGGGAGCAAATGTGGGGGTTTAAGGGCCTTGCTCAAGGGCCCAGAGTGGAGCAAATGGGGGTGAAGGCAGGTGTGGGTGCTTCAACTTTCCACCCCAAAAATTTAATCTCTTAACTGAGATGGGAGCTAATTTTTAAGGAGATATATTACAGAATGTTTCTAAACCCACTTGTGCAATGATGATGTTAAACTTATTTGTTAAATGTGAAATAAATAGATATCTGATGCAGATCAGAAGTGACAACCCCTTAAAAGAAACAGCCAGAAGAAGATCTTAAATATAAATTGTTGTATGAACAGCAACGAGGAAGGTGTTGAAAAACTGCTAATCAGCTCTGCGAGGTGCTGGTCGATATCTTTAATTCCTCCCTGACCATGGCAACAGTTCCCACCTGCCTGAAGACTGCCACCATCATCCCAGTTCCAAAGAGCTCTACAGTGACTGGTCTGAATAACTATTGGCCAGTGGCCCTCACCCCGATAGTTGCTAAATACTTCGAAAGACTGGTCATGACCCACATCAAAACAACCATCAACATGAGCGAGGACCCTCACCACTACGCATACTGCAAGAAACGATCAACAGAAGACGCCATCTCCTCTGTGGTCCACACTGCTCTCACCCACCTGGAGCAGAAGGACTCCTACGTCCGTATCCTCTTTGGGGACTTCACATCTGCCTTCAACACCATGATCCCCCAAACCCTGATGGAAAAACTACTCACACTACGACTAAGCCCATCCATATGAAACTGGGTACTAGACTTGTTAGCAAACAGACTGCAGTCTGTGAGGATTATTATTATTAACATTTATTTAACCAGGCAAATCCCATTGAGATCACAGACTTCTTTTGCAAGGGAGGCCTGGGCCTGAAGGCAGCCTAACGTGCATGTTTTTAGTCTGTGGGAGGAAACCGGAGTACCCAGAGAAAACCAATGCAAGCATGAGAAGAACATGCAAACTCCACACAGAAAGACCCCAGGTCCAACCAGGGATTGAACCCAAGACCTTCTTGCTGTGAGGCAACAGTGCTAACCACTGAGCCGTCATGCTGCCGACAAATCCACAACTTCTCATCCTCCACTATAACCCTCAGCACTAGCTCCCCTCAGGGCTGTGTGTTGAGGCCCCTCCTGTTCACTCTGTTCACGCATGACTGTGCACCTACCCATCCAGACTGTCATATTATAAAGTTTGCAGACGATACAGAGGTTGTTGGATGCATCACAAACAACGAGTCCAGCTACAGGCAGGAGGTGGAACACGAGGAGAGCTGGTGCAGGAAGAACAACCTTCACATCAATGTGAAGAAGACAAAGGAGATGGTCGTGGACTTCAGATGGAACAACA